AATAAAAATAAATGGATAAAATAACATAGCATAACATAACATAACATAACATAACATAAAATAAATAAATAAATAAAGAACTCGCAAAGCCCATTTTGCAGTTTGAGGTAGTTAGAGTATGGATTTACGAAATAGCTAAGACAATTTCATTCTTTTCATATTTTGATTTAACTTGGCTTTCCCTATAATTTTTTCGTTACTCAAAATTATATTCTTTATTCTAATAGTCCTTTACTGGCAACTTCGACTCTAATTSTACAGTCAAGAATATCTTGTATGACGGTACTGTTAGTCAGTACATACGTGTTGCACCCACAAGTCATTTTGGGAGTACAAGCTGCATGAGAACAGAACTCTATGGAATAATACACGACGGAGGTACTTACAGACCTCGAGTCTTCATAATTGAAAAATTAGTTATTCTACGTAAATGCTCTTTTATAAGTCGAAAATTTTAGCTGAAAATAATATGTRCAACAACGTTGCAAGAGAAATTTCACGGGGGTGTTGTAGTACCGCGCAAGTTCCGTTCTGGAACTTGTTCGCGACACAAATTCAGGTTTGCACAATTAGGAGCCTCAAGGAAATAATACGCGAAATTTGAGTGTTAGAGATACATTCCATTTAGCCGATAGAACATAGAACTGAACGAATAGTGAAAAGAAAAGAAAAGAAAAGAAAAGAAAAGAAAAGAAACAAATCAGTTTAAAAACTGAATCTGGATTTGTTGATATATTAATGTTTTTGCTATGTTACAGGTTGTACATCCATGTTTGTTGGTTTGTCATACCCTAGTATCGTACCAGATCACAGGTTTACTGCCAGTTCTTCATATGGCGGAGATTACATACCAAGCAATGCTAGACTGAAAACATCTAATAAAGCCTGGGCACCTTTAAAAAACTATGTTGGTGAGCGGCTGCAGATAGACCTCGGTTCGGTGGTTTTCGTGTGTGCAGTAGCTACCCAAGGTGCTGGTGCTCTTGCTAATCAATTTTTACGTTCATACAAGATACGAGTGTCCTTGGATAATGTAAATTGGGATTATTATCAGGAAAAGGATTTCGATCAGGTAAATAAGTGACAAGATATTTGAAAAGATGAGAAGCGTTAGACGTAATAGTCAGATTATTATCAAAAACCATAAAAATAGGATTTTCTATAAAACGTCATATATAATGCATCTCAACAAATTGCATAGAGCGTTACGTGGCGAATATTGATTGCCGATGCATTATTACATTCAGCTCAGCCTTCGGGTTTCGAGCGAGTGTGTTATTGTGATAATGTATATTTATTTTCAGTTATTTGTTTCTCAGTAAGGGAGGAGAAATACTTTTACTTAGAATTTATTCGTCTTAGACCTTTAGAGGCAACACAAATAAAGATCACGTCAAGATAAACAGTCTAAGTCATCCAGTGAAGGCCAAGTTTATACAATTCCATCCCGTGAGATATTTTAATCGGCCGTCCTTGAGAGTAGAGGTTTATGGGTTACCTTCAGGTTAGTGCAAAGATAGAAAACACGTTCACTTTTTAAGTTGATTTATATAATTATCTGAAAATGTTGATAACCGGCGCGAGACGAGGGCCAGGCGAAGCACTAGTTTTAGGCAAATATTTTGGAATTCTAATGTTCATTGTCTAATTAAGTTATAAGTGTTAAAACTGGATCCATTCTTAGACAAACTAGAGTGAGTGCTAAGTATCGTCGATTATAGCTTGCAGCTTTCCTCTTGGACTTGAAGCACCTGGTATAATTCCAAACAGCCAAATGACGTCCTCATCACTCCTTGATAGTGGCCATACTGCACCACATGGTCGTCTCTATGGCAGCAGCGCATGGTGTAGTAGCACGTCATCTAACACTCAGTACATACAGATTAACCTGGGACAAGTGATGACAGTGACAGGTATAGCAACACAGGGTGACCACACCATGGACAAGTGGGTGAGGACCTACAATATCAGTTACAGTATAGATGGCAATCTGTGGAACACCTACAAAGCTGGAAGCAACAGTGATAAGGTAGATATTAATATGAAATATATTTGATATGAAAAATAACAGGGAAATATTTACATCGATCAGTCATCAATATTTCCCCCAAAACTAGTTCAGACAGTGCTATTCTCTGCGTCACCCTGAAAGGTTACCGTGCCTATGCATCGAAGCGAGGCGGACGGTGGTGCCCTTGCAATGTTTAAGACACTTTTCTGACACCTTGTGCAATTATTTTGTCTTTATCGTTTCAAAGTCAAGTGTACAGCAATTCTCGCGTCGATGCACAGGGACAGTTACCTTTCAAGATGGCGCAGGGACTGGACTGCTACTATTTTTGTTGGTGCTACTTGCTGCTAACTATTACATTGCAGTGCTAAATAAAATATGCATTTCAACAGATATTCCAAGGCAATACTGACAAGGAGAATGTAAAAGTGCAATGGCTGAGTCATCCACTGACAGCCAGGCATGTTCGAGTTACACCACAGACATGGAAAACTGCTATATGTATGAGACTAGAACTGTATGGATGTGACTATGGTAAGTACAGACATGGAATACTGCTATATGTATGAGACTAGAACTGTATGGATGTGACTATGGTAAGTTATACAGACATGGAATGCTGGTATATGTATGAGGATAGAACTGTATGGTGATGGTAAGTACAAACATGGAATACTGCTATATGTTTGCGAATAGAACTTTATGGATGTGACTATGGTAAGTACAGATATGGAATACTGCCGTATGTATGAGAATAGAACTGTATGGATGTGACTATGGTAAGCACAACACAAAACCTTTGTTTACATCTTATGACATCTTATATGCATTTTCAGTTACCAGACCAGTGATAACAGGTCTGACCAATCAATACCTCACAGCATCATTCAATAGCTATGTAGATCTGGTGTGTAGTGTACAAGAACCATTAATACAGTACATCAAATGGTACACTGGTAGTACTGACATCACCAGTCAATCTACGGGTCTGGCTCATGGTGCTAATGGAGTCAAGAATTCTACGTTGAGAGTTAACTACACGTCTGACGATGATGTATTCAATGCCTATGAGTAAGTACAGCAGTAATGTATGAACATATATACCCCTGGCACTGAGTCCCTAGAAGAATTGTTCTGGAGGACAAAACAATTGATTTTTTTTTGCATAACAAAAGGCGGCTTATTGTTTACGTTTTGTTCCCAAGAACATTTCCTCTAGAAATTCCATCTCAGGTGACTATAGAAGTCTGCTTCTTTTCATACAAAGTTGACTTACAGGAATCCAAAATCATTTACTGCACAACACCCATTCTACTGACTAACATATTTCTTTCGTCTAGTTGTTACAGGTTTGAATCCTCGCTGTTGTGCAATAAATCGTTCATTNTATGTATGAGAATAGAACTGTATGGATGTGACTATGGTAAGCACAACACAAAACCTTTGTTTACATCTTATGACATCTTATATGCATTTTCAGTTACCAGACCAGTGATAACAGGTCTGACCAATCAATACCTCACAGCATCATTCAATAGCTATGTAGATCTGGTGTGTAGTGTACAAGAACCATTAATACAGTACATCAAATGGTACACTGGTAGTACTGACATCACCAGTCAATCTATGGGTGTGGTACGTGGTGATAATGGAGTCAAGAATTCTACGTTGAGAGTTAACTACACGTCYGACGATGATGTATTCAATGCCTATGAGTAAGTACAGCAGTAATGTATGAACATATATACCCCTGGCACTGAGTCCCTAGAAGAATTGTTCTGGAGGACAAAACAATTGATTTTTTTTTGCATAACAAAAGGCGGCTTATTGTTTACGTTTTGTTCCCAAGAACATTTCCTCTAGAAATTCCATCTCAGGTGACTATAGAAGTCTGCTTCTTTTCATACAAAGTTGACTTACAGGAATCCAAAATCATTTACTGCACAACACCCATTCTACTGACTAACATATTTCTTTCGTCTAGTTGTTACAGGTTTGAATCCTCGCTGTTGTGCAATAAATCGTTCATTTGTAGAGCATTGTACGGAAATAACAAAACAGACGCTGATGGGATAAAAAGTGCCGTGGTAAAAGTAAGATATGGTGAGCATTTGAAAATTCATTATATTAACTGATGTAGTAAATAAATTATATCATTAGAAGAAAAAATTACTATGAMATTTTTTAGGTCATATGTGTAAGAATATTCTTACTGGTTTTATTCTGATCCAATAGACTACCTGTCTAAACTTCCACAACCGACAGCTAAAGTTCTTAGTTCGAGAGAGGTTGAAATAAAGTGGCAAAAGCTTCGATTAAATGAGTTCATGAAACCTGTGACGTTATATGTGTTAGTTTACCAAAACGACAGCTATTCTAAGAGAATAACTGTGTCAGCCCCAGCGCTTAGCCACGTGATCACTGGTCTAGATATCTACACCAGTTACAATATTACAGTCAAAGCTGTTAGTATAGTAGGTCATGGGAAATGGAGTCAGCCAATGAACTTCAGGACAAACTCGGACGGTAAGTACGACACGGTGTCTCAAAATGCATTGATCTTTTCATTGAAAGATTCCAAATATTAATAATAATGCTTCTGAAAAATTGCGTGTCTTGTGTATCATACCTTGTAGTTCCCACGGGTTTTCCTACCTCGATTACAGCAGAAGCCTTGACTTCACAAAGTATACGTGTTTCTTGGCAGGTGAGGTCCATATAAAAATCTTGAAAATTCAATAATAATCAGTRTAAGTTTGTTTAAAGTCAGGTTTGTATTTGTTTCTTTTTAAGGCACCAACATCTGGAATCAATGGCCCTCTTCGTGGATACAGAGTATTTTGCAGATCAGGAAGTGATAGACATGAAAGTACTGCAACTCYTCAACAAACAAGTCACACGTTCAGTGGTCTGAGAAAGTGGACAGTGTACACTGTCACAGTGTACATACATAACGATAAGGAAGATGGACCTATCAATGGCTATGTGGCCCTGCGAACTATGGAAGATGGTGGGGTCTTCTGATGGATTAACATATCTTTGAATGCAATCTTATATATAACGTTGTAATTGTTGTTGTTGTGTTGACATCGCTGTTATGCAAAACTAAGCTTGAGACTGAGTGTTCTAAATACTCAAAAGGTACTTTCTTGCAAAGGAGAAAACAGCACATCTAAAAATTTGAAATGTACTTCGACATACGACACAAGACTTGCCACCAAAACAATAACGTTTTTTTCTCATATGTCTTGCTATTCAAAACATTACATAGATTTTGTATTYTTTATGTACCAATTTCACTCTCACTCAAGATTCAATTCATTACTTTAACCAGCTCCCGGACAGCCACAAAGCTTCAAAGTCACCGTCCTTAATTCTACTGGTGTTCAATTGGATTGGGCTTTACCGAGTGAAACAAATGGTATCATAAGAGGGTTTAAGATGCGCTACGAAAAAACTGGTAACTCTTCACAGAAGGATTTACCTGGTAATACGACTCTATCTTATTCTTATGTACTGACTGGACTGGACAAGTGTACTCTATACTCCTTTCAAATGTTGGCCTACACAATAAAAGATGGTCCTTTTACACCTGTGATCCTGAAAACAACAACAGAAGACGGTAGGCGTTGATATAAATATTTAACAAATAAAAACAGCTTTTTCCGTGCCCCGTTCAGTAATGAAGCACACAGGAAGTGGCTTAAGCACAAAAGGAGTGTAATAATTCATAGTTTTTTTGAATGGTGATCTCCATTCAAACACGTACAATTATGGCATTATCGAATTTAGAACATACAAAATTACAACATATAGAGCGTTTTCACGTGATGCCACAGCGGCGTACCAAAACAATACATGGGGTACCAAAACAATACACTTTCTATTATCCGGGAATTGAACTCTATTTTTATGCAAATACTGTGCAGAAAGTTTCTATTGTTTATTGCTGCCTTCTCACGTGAGTGAAAACGCTCTATAACATGGACCTTTATCACACGGCCGCCATGTTTATTCTCATGAGAATAAAAACCTTTGTTTCCCCAGCATAAATTAATTCTCAAGCGCTTGAATTTGTGTTCAATCCAACATGGCTGCCGCGTGAATAAGGCCCATGACTTGCTACATTTTGGGCCTGTCGAGTTCAAAACTCAGAACATATATAGGAGCTGAGGCCTAAATGTTACATGGGAGGTACGTTAATTAGATGTATCTAGTGATACAATTTGTGGAATAATCATAAGCGTTGCACTGCCAGAAGGCATGGAGGTTTTTAGTACATCTTTCATTTCAACTATGTATCTCAAATGAATACACCAGAGAATAATATTTCCATTTCCCAGAATACGTACCTTTTGGTCTCAGCTCTGACTCCTAGCGATTGAATGACTGTACATATAAACCGGGCCTGATAGAAATGTGTTTTTATGCTGCTATATATTTTAGAGTCATCATGTATTGGAAAGCAGTCGACGCGAAGAAAGGACACAACTTGCAAAAGTAAGTCATTGAAAAAAGGGTTGTGATTACCAAATGTCCATTCTGAGTCAATGACTAATGTACTCGCTCCAATAACTATGAAGTTTCATTAATGCGAGAAATAGGCATTTCGTCTTAAAAGTTCTAATTGTACGATTTGTGACGACAAGTACAGGCATAATTCTCAAGAGTGGAAAGATCAATTGAATTACAAATTCTTATAACAATGTCAGAGAATAAATTTAACTAAAGTCCTATGGGGAAAACCCTAGCTTTGAATGAGTCTGGTTGTACGTCTATGATGCCTGATGGCATCAAAAAGTCGAGAAAATTGGAATAAAATTGTCGTTTCATTAATACAAACAAAATGCAAATGGTTATTTCCTTCACTGTTTACCTACGTTTTAAAACTAAAACCTTAATAAGAAAGGCATCGATGCTATGGATCTGGCAGCAAAAACGTCGAGGTTTGATGTCGTAATAGTTCTAGTTTGTAAAAGAGTGTCTTTCACTTGAGAAAGATAATTTATTAGATTTTTTGTTGTTTGTTTTGCTTTAATTAGCAATCAACGAAGTTGCCCTCTAATTGAAATATAAAAATATAACGGCCACTCTAAAGCTTTCTTTTTTGGTACATATTTGAACAATTAATATGCCAATAACTTATACATATAGCTTATAGTGCAAGACAACAAATAACAAATGCTTACTTTATAAACTACATAGCATTCATCATTTTATGTCTTATTTGGATGTGTTAAAGAAATATCACAATAAAATAGTTAGAAAACTTACCGAGAAACATCTTATTTATTTCAGATTTATCCATTTTCGCTGTTGGTCTTGCATTCATCGTAGTTTTCTTGGTTCTTATTGTTCTACTCGTAGTGTACATCAAAAAGCTTAGGAAAGAACTTGGTAATTATAAAAAAACTACATTGGTGTTGTATTAATTCATATTCATTTCTCATGCCATTTTCTCACTACTAACATTCTGTGGACATACATCAAGTATGTATTGTTCCTATGTTGAACCGCTCGATAATAACAATAATAATGATTTTTTTCTTTATTGTGTATGCATATAGTTCTAGAACACTCGAAGAACAAAGAAAAC